CCCAGAGGAACTCAAATCATTCTACAAAAAAGATACCTGCACACGTATGTTTGTTGCAGCTCTATTCACAATAGCAAAAACATGGAACCAACCTTGTTGCCCATCGAAGTTGGACTGGATTAAAAACAATGTGGTACATATACACAATGGAATATTATGCAGCCATAAAGAAGGACAAACATATGGATTTCGCAGCAACTTGGGTGGCTTTGGAGTTGATCATACTCAGTGATCTATCACAGAAACAAAGAACAGAGTACCATATGTTCTCACTCATAAGCGGGCCTTGAACAATTATAATACTATAAGAAAGGGATTGGCAGTAGTGGGAAACTGTCAGGGGAGGGGGTATGGGATTGGTAGCTGAGGGAAACTGCTGGGGAGGGAGGGACATACCTCATCAACAAAGGTACCTGCATAATCAACTTTTATATACCTAACCCTGAATTGTACTCCATATCTTTATAATAAAAAAAATAATATAAATAAATAAATAAAGTAGCTGCTCATAGGCATGGCCCTGATTACTAATTTAATGCTATACAATCAGGCATAAATGTAGAATTGTGCTGCCCAGGTCAGTCTCGAACCTCGAATTCCTCACTTCAAGAAACACTCCCTCCTTGGCCTCCCAAAGAGCTGGACTTACAGCATGAGCCACTAAGTTCGGCCACTTATAACATTTTCATGATTATGAACAGCACCAATGAACATCTCTCATACAACTTTTTTTATTTTTCTTTCATCTTTCTTTTTTTTCTTTTTGAGTTGGAGTCTCACTCTGTCACCCAGACTGGAGTGCAATGGCCGCTCCCAGCAACCGCAGCTTCGACCTGCTGGGCTCCGGCGATCCTTCCGCCTCAGCCTTCCGAGTAGCCGGAATTACAGGCATGCGCTACCACGTCCAGCTGAGTTTTTTATTTATTGTAGAGATAAGATCTCACTGCCCAGGCGGGTCTCGAACCCGTGGACTCAGGCAATCCACTCACCTCAGCCTCCCAAAGGCGCGGGATTACAGGCTGAGCCACCGAGCCCGGCTTCTTTTTTTTTTAAAGATAGAGTCTTGTTTTGCTGCCCAGGCTGGCACAATCATAGATAGCTCACTGCAGCCTTGAACTCCTAGAATCAAGGAAACCTCCCGTCTTAGCATCCTAAGTCCTGGGACTCACTATATGCACACACCACTACATACAGGAAAAAAATTTTGTGGGTCTTGCTATGTTGCCCAGACTGGTTTTGAATTCCTGATCTCAAGTGACCCACCTTCTTCAGGTTCCCAAAGCACTGGAATTACAAATATAAGTCATGGTGCCTAGCTTCTTATACATCTTTATGTACGTGTTCAATTTCTTCCTTAATATAAAGCCCAGGAAGGTGACCTACAGGTTCAAAATATATGCTGCATGATTTCATAAAACCTAGGAGATATCTTGACATCAAATCAAAGCCCACATTTTTTGCTATTATCTTTTTTCTTTTTCTTTTTTTTTTTGAGTCAGTCTACTTTGAACTTGCTGTTAAATTGTTTCACTTGCTACTAAACATACCTGTTATATAGGTAACTGAAATAAAAAAAACAACCGCACCATTCACATGGTCATTGCAGCCTCGACCTACTGGGCTCAGGTGATCCTTAACCACGGGTACACACCACCACACCTGTCTAATTTTTTAAATTTATTGTAGAGATGTGGTCTTGCAAAGTTGTCTACACTGGTCTCGAATCTCTGGGCTCAGACATTCCTCTTGCCTCTGCCTCCCAAAGTGCTGGCTGCCATACAAGCTATTTAAAACTTTTTGTTTTTTGAAACATGGTCTCACCTTGTTGCCCAGGCTGGAGTGCAGTGACACAATCATAGCTGCAACTTTGAACTCCCGGGCTCAAGCGATCCTCCTGCCTCAACCTCCTGAGTAGCTGGGACTATAAGCACACTGCCACGCACAGCTAATTTTTTTTTAATAGAGCCAGGGCCTTGCTATGTTCCTCAGGCTGGTCTTGAACTTTTGGTCCTCCCTCCTCCAATTCCCAAAGCATTGGAACTGCAGGTATGAGTCACCACACTTGACCACATTTTAAAAATATTATTCCTGTGTAGCAGTGTTCTCATTGTCACAAAGATATATTACATAAGGCTATTTGGCCCTATACGAAATAACCACACTGTGTCTGAGCTGTTTTATTTTTTATTTTTTTATTTTTTTTGAGTTGGAGTCTCACTCTGTCATCCAGACTGGAGTGCAGTGGCC